CCCCCCCCCCCCCCCCCCCCCCCCCTCGCCCTCTGCCCGGCCCATTCTCTTCGATCTCCTCCTTGCGCAGTACTCAAATTATGGTTACCAGCTTTGGACCAGCCCTTCTGATAGCTCCTGCCCCAAAGGTCATTTCGACATTAATGATTTTTCCGCACTTATCTCTCTTTTAATCTTCTGGCCGTTTTAAAACCAGCTGTTACATGCATTGCGCAAATGATGAGGTGCTTCACAAAGCAGAAAAGAAGTCGCTCTGCTTCCTCTAATTTTATTTTTTTTTTGGTTTTGAGTAAATTGCTGTGTTTGAATAGTAGAGTAAGAAGATTGGGATTAGGTGTCATGTATATGAAGCTGTAAACACAGATGGGACTATGCATGCGGGTAGGCGTGGGAATCGTCAGTACAGCCTCCTATCCGCCATGTACTGAAAGGGCATGTAATTAATTTGCAAGAAGGATAAGTGAAAGGAAAAGGGAGAGAGAGAGAAAGTGTAGTAGCATGAAAGTATAAGAATGGTAGAGCAGATGGAAGGGATGGAAACTAACATTTGAAGTTAAGTGAAAGCAAGCAGTTCAGGCCGACTTGAGCTCTCCATGAAAGCGATTTGAAATTTCAAGGGGAGCTAGGAAACTGAAATTTGAATGGAGAAAAATTACACTCGCAAACTCAAGTCCAGCGCGTCGCTAGGCTTCACTTACGGCCACGTGAAAGTTTTGGAGCCTAAATTGATAACTCGGGGAGCATAGAATACTGAAAGCTGAAACTTAAGGAGAATTTTTCTTGTTCGCATGTGACTTCGTAGAGATAAATTCAGCGTTCTCTTACATCCCTCTCCAAAATGGGCGCTCTTGCTAGCGTAGTATCCACGTGCGGGCCGGTTAAAATTTTTTTCGGGTAAGTTGCTAAGTCAAGAACCAGAAAAGCCAGAATTTTGAGGGGATGTTTCCCGTCCACGTAGGTATTAATAAGTTCAGAGCTAGCCCGAGGTACGCATGGTTCTCACATGCGGACCCGTGAAATTTTTTGCAGGTAAATCGCGAACTCACAGAACTGAAAACTAGAAGACTGGAATTTTAGGGAGTATTCCTGGTCCACGTAGTTCTTAATGTGCCCAGAGCTCTAGTATCGTGGTTTTTATGCACGGGCCCGTGAAAGTTTCTTGCACTAAGTTACGAAAACAGGAACCAGAAAAGGTAGAAAAGGTAGAAAGCTAGAAACTTAAGGGTATGTTTTCAGACAGTCCTAGTGGCCAGTCTCAGTTTTCTCAGCTAGGAGGTCTGTCGGAAAAACAGTGTCGTTAGCGACAAAAACAATGCATAAAACGCAAATTCGAACCGCCAGCCGGTGCGCTGGCTACTTTTTATGCATTTTTTGCATCTATGGAATGGAAAAACGCATAATGTCGAGGGATTGTTTGTGTGTCTGTATATGTAGTGTGTGTTTCTGTAACAAGTTTTCATCTCGAGATTCACAAAAGTTACAAGGCTGAAACTTTGGTAACTTAGTCTACACATATACATATCACAAATGGACGCTAACGTCCCCGTGGTTCTCACCTACGGGCACGTGAAAGTTTTTTCAGCGGGAAAGCGTTTTCGGGAGCGGCGAGAGGTAGGAGGCTGAACCTTCACAGAGATGTTCCTTGGCAGCGTCTAATCCGAAGATTTCAAATCCAGCTTTTACGCACTCATAGATCTCACGCACGCATACGTAAAATTTTTTTTAAATTGGTGTCATGCCAACTTCAGATTTAAGCTGACCAGCATGCAGATAGGAAGCTGTAATTTTGCATTTTTACATGGCGCTCAATGTTGTGCCCGTGAAAGAAAACTGAGTTTTCCAGCTCCTCTGCATCTCTTGCACAGACACATAAAAATTTCGCGCAGGCACTTTTGCGAATTCGGAAATGAAGCAGCTTGAGGACTGAAACTTGTTGAGCCGACAGTTGCCTTTGACTAGGTTGATGTAAAAATGACTTTCACATCCCTATCATGGCTCACATACGTCTCACATACATACGTGGAATATGATGCAATTTTACAACCAAATCAGCTACATCGTCGAAATTTCCTGAGTGTCGTCCTGGATCGTGTTTGAGCAAGCGCACTTGAAGACAGTATTTTCGTTGCCACTCACGTACGAACACGTAAATTTTGACATAACTCAACAACCGAAGCTTCCAGAATGGTAAATTTCTTGAGCATGGATTGGGAGTAACTGTAATAATCTCTGCAAGTCATAATGGCTACTCTCAACTCTCACAGCTAGAAGCACTTGCCGAAGAAATAGTGCCATTAGCAACAAAAATCTGCGGGTGGACTTTGCAAAAGCGCATTTTCGCACCGGCAGCATGTGCGCTGTCGACTAAATTTTCCTTCTGAAGTGAGGAAATAGTACTTTAAGCAAAATTTCTGTTCGCAGTACATGTTCGTTGGCAAATGTGCCTTACTGTGATTATACTTGCTAACACTGATGGATAAATTACGGCGGGTGCCAGGGGCCGATGCGAGCATTCGTTTTTTTTTTCAAAACCAGTTACAAAATTTCTCGCATCAGCTTCTAAGTGTTCAAATTTAAGATTTGGGGGTCTTGGAAACTGATTTTTGTCATACTCACTTGCAGAATTAGGGTTTCTGATTAGGTGATCTGGCTTTCATGTTATAAAACCGTGGGAGCCAAATTCTTTTTTCGTGCATGAAATGAAATGAAAGGGACAAAGGGAATTTGACCGCGCATTTATTTACTGTACACAGTCCTAGGCCGTGTCCACAAAATTTCGCTTCTCGAGCTCTTTTAGTTGTGGAGTTCCAAAATTGTTAGCTTCGCCTTCCAGTGCCCAAAATTTAAAAATACATAAACGTTGAACTCAAATTCTTTGGGCTGCAAATGGCAGGGAACATTTTTGTACAATTTTGGCTTCTAGCCTGTCTGATTTCCGGGATCATTATCCTGTCAAAATCGTTACGCGAGAACAAGGGGAGTATAAGCGTTCATTCCTTATCTCCAAAAAATCCATCCATATTGGTGAATTAATTTGCCAAATTCCAGCATTGCAGCTTTCTTGGACCTGGAAAACAAAAGATGCGACAAAACGCACGCACAAAGCCTTTTCATAAAACGCCTTTTTTGTACTGCATGGATACGAAAAAAATAGGCATAAAAATAGGGACTGCGCGAAGACACCATTGTGGGTGATGTCACTCCCAGATGAATGCCGTAGACGCCACGTCCATCTGTATCCTTGCAGACTTAGGCGTGCTTCTATGCCAAAAAAGCACCGTAAAATTTATTAATTTCTAAAACATGTTTTTTGCAGTGCTATTAATCTGTCGAAAGTGATTATTCACTCCGTTACTGCTACAGTAACTGAGCTGCTTGCTAACGGACATTATTCGAAATTTTTTCACTCACATCGTTTTTCCGTTTAATTTGGTAACCTCAAGAAATATGTCATACCATGCAGAAAAAGCAGCACCGCAGCGAAACGAGGAGCCGATGATGGAATATGAACAAAAAATTGGTAGTGGCGAGAAAACAGCTGAGGTCTGCTTATCTCCCATCACCCAATGATCCATTTTATAGCTTTGGGGACCACAAACCAAAAACCACTTTTCATTTGTCTTTAACTCGAATCTGCAGTAATAGCCTCTGTTTGCATATATCATGAACAGCAATCGGAAACGAGATCGCACAAGCTGCATCATAATTTAACGGCCAGAGCTTCAAGAAGCTGAACGCCTTGCCTATTAAGCCACATTTTTTTTCATCTGCAGGAAATTGTGGAAAGGACCACCGGATACGAAGCCGCAGAAATGGCAATCAATTCTGTGGTCGAGGAAGTTCGAGCAGAGCAGGCGGCAAAATCTGAGAATTGTGAGGGACGTACAAGTGAGGCCGCTGAAGCAGAAGGTACGAAAACACTTTTTCCACATCTGACACATCAGTAGTTTGGCATTGTAAATTCGAGGCGATTTTGCCCTGTTAACTGCCAGTTTCCTGGCTCGGAGCGCCTGCTTCTCTCATCCGAGATTAATACCTTCATTTACTGAACAGACGGGACGGGTGGTTTGCGCTGTAAAAGCTTGTTTTTCTAGTAATGTAGTAAACCGAATAATTCATTTTTCTTTCAGAGGAAAACAAAGTGGAAGATGCGAGAGGTGACGTCAATGCTAGTTCAGTCCCCAGCACATCTTCGTTAATCGATGATATCGAAAATCTGTCTTACTCAATGCAGTGCTCTGATAGTCAGTTTTTGCTTTCTTCGTTTTATGGCCACTCGTTCATCATTGCGGGAATTTGGACAGCTTCCCTCATGTAGACAGTCCATAGAATTTTGAAATTCCTGCATAAGCTGGGCGCAAGCAATTTTCTGCGCTTCTAATCCGTCATTGCATTGAAAATTTTCAGATCACTCAGGACGTGATGATAAGGAGAATGAACCAGAACGTGTGCGAATTGGATCTGGACGCTACGGCTTACGGACGATATCTGATTTTCCCGATGATGAACAAGCGGCGCTTTTTGAAAAAGCCAAAAAAATTGCTAACAAAGCCGAATTTTCAAGGTAAAAACAAAATGCGTAGCCAGCTTTACTGGGATTCTTCGTTTCCTCGTGAAAATGCCTTTTTCCCTCTCATTTTGGTACTTCAAAGGTGTTTAGTGCATCGTCTTACCTTACGTTTTTTTCATAACTTCGCTCGGTCCTTCGCAACAACCACTCTGAGTATAGCGTTGGATTTAAAATTCTTCAGAGGAAAGCAAGCAAAAATGTGCTGGTAAAAAATTATTGGTACACATAACTCAGGCTGGAACGCACCAGGTGAGCCGGTGCGATCATGCGTTTTTGCACCAGACTTGAAATAATTAG